CTTCTCTTTTCATATCTGACCATATCTCATTATGACTAGTTTCCTGCCAATTATCAAGACCTTGCTGCATTGTCCTTCTCTTGCATCTTCTCTTGGCAAAGCTGCAACCCATAATTATTCTAATTGTGTGCTTTCTCTGTATCACACAACTGAGCAAATTAGTACTAACAATAAGTCTGTGGTAACAAACTTCAACAGACTCCCAATGTTGCTTGAAAATTCTTCTAAACTTCCTAAATTGTATTCTGAAGAAGACATTATTGTCAAAAAAAATTTTTTTTAATAAAAATAGGATTCAAGAACTGCTAGGAGTTTGGAAACTGCTGCATTCTAAGAGTTTTACTATGTAGATTATTAGCCCTCCCTCTCACAAACTTCATACCCAAGATCCCTTCAAGAACATTAAGAATCCCTGCCAGAGCTTTTGATTCCATCAGCTTCCACTCCAGTTATCCATCACTCTCTAATATCCTTAATCTCATTCTCCATAGAGCCTCTTTCCAACAACCTATAAACATGCTCTTATCTTGTGCCTAGCTACCAATTTCTTTCTGTTCCACTCTTGTTCTTTCTTATCCAACCTTCTTAAAAGACTAATCAACATTCATATGTCTCCATTCTCTCATTTATTTATTCCTTAAACTACTTCAATCTGGTATTTGACATATACTTCTAAAACTGCATTAGCTATAGTCAAGATAAGTTGGCAAGATAGGTATAACTTGCCAAAATATAATGGATATTTTTCAGACTTCATTTGAATGAACCTCTCATTGGCATTTATCCTGTTGCAACTCCTTCCTTTAGGCCAGTTGCTTCACCCTTAACATAAAAACACCATCATATGGTTTTCCTTGTAAAGAGCAGCCATAGAGGTATGGCCACTCTTTCTAAGCCTATTAACCCGCCTGCCACTTAAATGTTAGTATTCCTCAGGATTAATCCATCCCTAGCATTTAAAAAAATAATGACAATAACCCCTTTTGACAAAATAATAAAAAGCTATGAAACCACTTTCAAGAAAAAGTGATTAAGATGATGGACTGAACCCATCTCTTCTCATGCTAGAAGTCTTTTAAATACATTTTACAAATTAAAGGAATAAATCTATAATAGTACTGGGGAAAAATCATGCCTTCAGGAGCAATTCTGAGAACCCTTGGAGGTTAAAAATTTAAAAAGTGGAAAAACCAAGAGCACAGAAACCACAACCTAAAACAAGGTGATGGGTGCGGGTGCGGGTGCGGGTGGGGGTGGGGGTGGGGGTGGTCCAAGGCCACCTGAACTGTTCTATGCGTGCCTACCTGGATACACCAAAGGTACTTCAAACTCAATAAACCTAACCAGAACTTCACATCTTCCCATAAACAGATTTCTTCCTCTTGTGGTTCTCTATCTTGGTTATGGTAACAATATTCACCTAGTCACTCAAGCCACATCTCTGAGGCTCATCTTTGCTTTTACTCTTTCTTCTCACATACATGCATTCCTCACATGTTCCACTGATGTGACCTTTTAAGTTATGCCCTAAACAGACAGTATTTTCCCGGGCCCTGTTATCATTACTCTACTTCAGCCAACACTTTCTGTTGCCTTGAGTATGGCAATGCCCTCCAATATGTCTTCTCTGACCTTCCCGCTTGGCACCACCCCCTGCTAAATCCATCTTTCATAATGCAGCCTGCAAAGCCTTTCTAATGTATCAGTCTGATCATGCCACTTGCCTGCTCATATGTTACACAGCTTTCTTATCTCCTGTAGTAGGGCTGACATGTAATCCCAGGACCACTCTCTTAAACTGATAACATATATGAATAATTGACCATGACTATAATGACCAAACATCCAGGTTGCCTGGGACATTCCCATTTTACACATGCTATTCTGACACTTATCATAGAGGCCCCTTTCACTATCAAGTGTCCTAAAATAGACAATAAATTAGTCACCCTAATCACAACAATTTTCCACTGAGCCTGAATGTGACCTTAGACTCCTTTAAAAAAATCATAATTTATCAAAGTTGACATGCAAGATTAAAAAAATCTATTTGCCATCCTTGAAATATAATGCAAGTTCCTTTGTATGGCATATGTGATCCTCCATGACCTGATCTGTGTCCACCTCTGTGGCCTCACATCCCACTCTTCCATCTCACAAGTTATGCTCTAGTTATAAAACCACTTGTAGAGGTACTGAATATACTACACTGCTTCACTAATAAGTGCTTTAGGCTCATGATATTCCTTCTAACCAGAACACTCTTCCCCTTCCTTTAATCCTATTACTCTTTTCTTTTTTTTGAAAGGAGCTGTAAGCTATTTTATTTTTTAAATAAATTTATTTATTTTATTTATTTAATTTTGGCTGCATTGGGTCTTCGTTGCTGCACGTGGGCTTTCTCTAGCTGCGACGAGCGGGAGCTACTCTTCGTTGTGGTGCGCAGGCTTCTCATTGCGGTGGCTTCTCTTTGTTGCAGAGCACAGGCTCTAGGTGCGTGGGCTCAGTAGTTGTGGCTCACGGGCTCTAGGGCACAGGCTCAGTAGTTGTGGCGCATGGGCTTAGTTACTCAGTAGTTGTGGTGCACGGGCTTAGTTGCTCTGCAGCATGTGGGATCTTCCTGGATCAGGGCTCAAACGCATGTCCCCCTGCATTGGCAGGCGGATTCTTAACCTCGGCACCATGAGGGAAGTCCCAGCATGGCTCACTTTTAATTTCATTTGAGAATCTGCTTTACTGTTCCCTTCTTCAGACAGATACTTCCTAAATCACTCTATCTAAAACAGGATGTTTACTCCAACCCTGCTATCAGGGTTCCAATAGCAGGGTTGTTCCAATGCCTATCAAACTTTATTTTTCTCTGTAGTTCTGAAACATTATTATGTAGTTACTTATTTGTCTGTCTCCCATGAGAATGTAAACTCAATGAGAATGTAAGAAAATTCTATTTGCTTCATCAGTATAACTCCAGCTCCCAGAGCAGTTCATGTCCTAACGTAAGCTTTCAATAAATTTGTCAAACAAAGGGAAGTCCAAGGAACAAGTCTAAATTCCTTAGAAATACTTCTTCAAGGTTTGTCAAAGTGCTTGATTAGAAGCATAATTATCAAATTTGTATAGATATAAGCCACAGAGAGTCTCTATAAAAATGTTAAAAAGTTAGGGAGAATTCTGTCCTAATCTATCTTTTCACAGATATAGAAGTTAGACAAGCCCCAAAGGACTTACTGTTCATGAATCTACACATATTTCACAAAAAATTATCTGTATCTAAGTATTTTCCAGTATTTTCCTTATACATGTGTCTTTACATGTGTACCAGATTAGAACTGCTGTTAAATAATCCTAAATAAATTAGAATGCATAATCATATAGAATAACTGGAATTCTATCAATTTACAAAATCAGAATGTCTACCTGATTATCTGAGAGCCACATAGCAGTCAATTGCTGTAGCTTTGTAAAGCTAAAGGGCAAATTTTTTAATCTGTGGGAAAAAATACAAACAAAAATTAAACTTTAAAAATGAGAAATGTTAAAATGAGAGCTAGATCTAATGGTCTTCTAAACACTGTTATATTATTGCATACGAAAATAGGAGAAAAACATTTAATTCAGGAGAAAACCCAGTATAGGTCTTTGAACAGGATATAAGACAAAATACTATTCAGTTTTATAAGAATTAATTTTAAAAATATAATTCTTCAATTGAATCAATTTTATTGGGGGAAAAATGGATAATCTAACAACGTCAAAAAAAATTATCTGCTAAGAAAAACTGGCAACTATCCCTACCTTACTGCAAAGGCAAGGACAAATTAAACAATACCTCATAAAATTGCTTTGGATGTTTTACTTGCCTTTACAGAGAACAAACTGTTATAGGAACCACTCTGAGTAAGAGCTTGTTATAAATACTGCACTCTTTTTATTTCACTGTGACCCAGCACTTTCATACTCAAGAAGACTATTTTAACACTATAATGAGTAAAAACAAAGTAATAGCAATACTCAGTAGAATGCTAAATTGGAACAGCACCCTACTTAAACCTTCTGTCTTATGCCTATCTATTCTATGCCTAACTTTCAAGGAACCTAGGGAATCTAGGTCTCTAGAAACCTAGGGTGCTGGAACTTAGGGCTCTAGTTTTAGGGGACAAAGTATGGGCTGAAACAAGGATTTAATTTTAAAAGGGATTTAATTTTAATGATTTAATTTTCAACCACACTGGATAGCTATAATTAATAATTTAAAAGGAGGGGCAGGGACAGTAGTTCTTCTTAAATAAAATGGAACAGTCTGAATACCCTAACTAGTTAGAAAATTGAGTTTACATCAAAGCTCTATCTTACAAGCTATGTGAATCACCTTAAATCTGAGTCTTAATTTCCTCCTCCATAAAATGGGAATACCTATTTATTATTTTATAGGGCTGTTTTGAATACTCTGTAAGATACTACAAAAGCAAAATGTAAAAATGCCCTTACAATGTTCTTTTATCACTATTAGTATCTTTACATCAGAAAAAATTATGGACAATCTGTTAACTTAAACACTGTTCCAATTTGTGATCTATTTTGCTCTATACCTTGGCTGTGTTGTCCAAAATTATTTGAGTGGGTGTCTAATCACACCTTTGCCCAGATTCATACAAGGAGTAGATTAGATTAAAAGCTGCTGTGTTCAACAGCAGTATTAAGGTGAAGATCTGACTTTAGAAATAAAAATGGCTACTATAAGGAGATAATTAAGACTATACAGCTAAAGTCAACATAAAATGAACTGTGACAAATAATCACAGTACGATAATTAACAACAGGTAAAATTAAATCATTCTTTCAAATGAAAATTCTACACAAAAAAACAAAAATATATATGAAAAGAAAAACATGCATTAGATTTTCTAACACATATAATGAAATTTTAATTTCATCCAACAGATGTCTTCTACAAACCAAATGATGAATTACATTGTTACAAACCTATTGTCACTCAAATTAATGACTTTTAATTTTTGCATATCACCCATTTCCTCTGGAAGTGTCTCAAGTTTATTGGAATGGAGAAACAGCACAGTTATATTTTTCCAGCTTCCAATCTGAAAGAGAAACAGACTTGTGCATCAAAACTTCGCCTACTGCTTAACAGACATTAAGTGAAGTATCATTTTCAAAAGTTATAAAAAAAACTCTCCTCATTTATAAAAGGAATTATATTTTCCCCTTTCAATTATTAATTTCCATGTATGAAGAAAAGTAGGTATCTCTTGAAAATCAATATAGCTAATTATTATTCAGAAAATAAATAACTTAGTTACAAAACTATTTCTGAAAGAAAATAAAGAAAATCACACTGGACAGCTATAATTAATAATGAGAAAAATAAAAATTCAAAATGAATTTTAAATACAGTACCTCTGGGGGTAACTGTTGTAAGTAATTATGATCTGCAGCAAATGTTCTTATATTAGTAAGCTGCCCAATAGATGAAGGCAAAGCTTCAAGTTCATTGAAGCTACAATCCAGTTCTTCTATTGACACTAACCTTTAATTAAAAAAGAAAGCACATTATTTTAACAAAAGATTTCCTGTATATCATGCAAAACTTAAGAACATATGACTATTTGAACTTGACTTTGACAAACGTAGAGAAAATCTACTTCCACTAAAGTTCACCTATAAAAAAATCAGCCTGTCTTCATTATAAATAAACCCAACCTGCAACCAACTGCTTATTTAAATGTTTTTGGAATCTCCTTTAGGTGTTAACAATTATCTGAAAAAAATATATGGCATGCTGAACCGAAAGAAAAGTCTTCTAGTTCTATTAATACACAAAAATCTTACCCTCCTATAGAGTCTGGTAGATACATTAACTGATTTTCATCTATTTTAAGAGTTGTTACATTCTTCAATGAACCTGTTGAGGGAAGAAATAATATACAATTTTCCATCTTGAACTAGAATCAAGTCAACCAACAGTCAATGTGAGCACATATTACATTTGACATGAATCATAAAGAACTTTTAAAAACCAACATATCTAAAAAAGATACCACCCCAACCCCACCAACTCTCTATTCCCTCACCCTGTATTTACAATTTTCACATACATACTACCTCTTAACAGCAGTGTATATTTATCGATTTAACCCTCACTAAAATGTAAGCTTCATAAAAGTATGTACTTTTTGTCTCCCTTTGCTAACTGTGGTAGCCATGCTTCTTAAAACAATGCTGTGATGGCACAGTGAAGATACACAATACAAACATGGTATCAATGGATTAAAGAAGTGATACTATGACCATAGTTTTCTTAAGTGTATAACAAACTATTCTACATATTATTGTACATATACTAAATACTAAAACAATAAAAATGGAGTTTAATTTAAAATTAAAAGTGTTGAATAAATTATGGTAGAGTTTGCAAAATGTAACCTGAGCTAAAACAGTTATGTAATTCAATTGAAAATATGTAAAAATAATTCTGATTTTTATATTTAAACAACATGAAGATGCCAAGATTTAAGTTTTTGGTTCTTTAAGATAATTCAATTTCCTTGATGCATCATTAGACACACAATTACACAAACACAGTTGACCCTTGAACAACAGGTTTAAAGTGCACGGATCCACTTACATGCAGATTTTTTTCAATAGTAAATACTACAGTACTACATGACCCACAGTTGGTTGACTACATGGATGCAGAACCATGGATAGGGAGGAAATGAATGCAGATACAAAGGTGCAACTATACATTATATGAGATTTTCCCACTGCGCAGAGGGTTGGCCCCCTAACCATTGTTGTTCAAGGGTTAACTGCATAGATTTTCGTAGGATTTTGCTTATCTGGCTGTCTTCTTGTGAGTCTAAAATGTAGTTAAGATTGAAAAAAGTTACTAGATAATGGCCACGATCAAGAGTTAAACCAAATTTGGGTAAATTAAACTCTTTTAAAGAATTTAAACTTTATTGCAGTGATAAAAATGACATTTCCTTAAAGAAAAACAGTAATGTCAACAAAAGAGTAAATTGTATAACTGATCACATCAGAAAAAAATTCAAATAAGATCTATGACTTCAGAGAACAGTAAAACTATCTCATAACAAATAAAATTTGATATATGGAAGGTCTGAATCAAACAATGGCATTAAGTTTCTCGTATTTTATATTAGCAAACATTAATTACATGATTTAGAGAGCAATACAAACCAACAGTCTCAGGCAGTTGTTGAAGTGAATTGCTTGATAATAGGAGGTCTTGAAGGTTTTCACATGCTGAAATTCCTTCTTCAACCATTTCAATATTATTTTTAGAAACATCCAAATATGTGAGCTGTTTCAAGCTACCGATAAACTGTAAGTAAAAAAAAAGGAAATCTAATGACACCACCAAGTGGTGAAAAGTTTAGATAATAAATCTAATGCCAAGTTATAATTTAAAATTAAATATTTATATGAGAGGATTCATAATTTTTTTTAATGCTATTAGTAATGTATTAGTAAAGCTAAGAGCTCCTACTAATGTTAGCCCAGCAGAGTGACAACAGACATATATTTTTCTTTGGGAACTTAGCTGCCCATCACTTGAAAGGGGAAGAGCAAATATGGGGATTCATATGGCTTTAGGTCTGAGAATGAACACAATGTCAGCTGCTAAGAAACTACATGGAAAATAGCTTACTTCAACAATTCCCTGGGCAAAATGAAATAAGATATAAAGTCAACTGCAACCGCTGGGAAGGACACACTCCATGGCATTAAAAGAGAGTGACAGTTGACCCTTAACAACACGGGTTTGAACTTCACAAATCTATTTATACATGGATGTTTTTCAACAGTAAATACTACAATACCATACTATTTGTGGTTGGTTCAATCTGTGGATGCAGAACCGCAGATCCAGAGGAGGAACCCCATAACAATGAAGGAATCTCGGATAGGGAGGGCTGACTATAAGTTATACACAGATTTTTGACTGCACAGAGGGTCAGTGCCCCCAACTCCTGAGTTGTTCATGGGTCAACTGTGTTTTACAAAAATTTATTACAGAAATTTTAAAATTTTAATCAAGAATGTATTGACAAACCCAATCAAAAAATGGGCGGAGGATCTAAATGGACATTTCTCCAAAGAAGACATACAAATGACCAAAAAGCACATGAAAAGATGCTCAACATCACTAATTATTAGAGAAATGCAAATCAAAACTACAATTTTGATTGTACAAAACTGTTTCTACAAAACTGGTTTTGATTCTACAAAACCGGTCAGAATGGCCATCATCAAAAAATCTATCAACAATATATGCTGGAGAGGGTGTAGAGAAAAGGGAACCCTCCTACACTGTTGGTGGGAATGTATATTGGTACAACCATTATGGAGAACAGTATGGAGGTTGCTTAAAAAACTAAATATAGAACTACCATATTTAGCTCTATAAATATGGTATAGATCCAGCAATCCCACTCCTGGGCATATATCCAGAGAAAACCATAATTCAAAAAGATACATGGGGATTTCCCTGGTGGCGCAGTGGTTAAGAACCCGCCTGCCAATGCAGGGGACATGGGTTTGAGCCCTGGTCCGGGAAGATCCCACATGCTGCACAGTAACTAAGCCCATGCGCCGCAACTATTGAGCCTGTGCTCTAGAGCCCACGTGCCACAAGTACTGAAGCCCGCGTGCCTAGAGCCTGTGCTCTGCAACAAGAGAAGCCACTGCAATGAGAAGCCCACACACCACAACAAAGAGCAGCCTCCACTTGCCACAGCTAGAGAAAGCATGCGTGCAGCAGCAAAGACCCAACACAGCCAAATAAATAAATTTATATAAAAAAAGATACATGCACCCCAGTGTTCACTGCAGCACTATTTACAATAGCCAAGACATGGAAGCAACCTAAATGTCCATTAACAGAGGAATGGATAAAGAAAATGTGGTACATATATACAATGGAATATTACTCAGCCTTAAAAAAGAATGAAACAATGGCATTTGCAGCAACATGGATGGACCTAGAGATTGTCATACTGAGTGAACTAAGTCAGACAGAGAAAGACAAATATCATATAAGGACCTACTGATTAGCACAGGGAACTCTATTCAATGCTCTGTAATGACCTATATGGGAAAAGAATCTAAAGAAGAGTGGATATACGTATAGGTATAACTGACTCACTTTACTGTACACCTGAAATTAACACAACATTGTTAAAAAAAAAAAAAAAAAGGAACATGTTGACAATTTTAAAAAATGTAATTTGTTTCTATCTAACAGTATTAAGAATTAAGTAATCATTTTTAAACTAATTAAAACTTATTTGAAAATGTGTAATTCATAAAAACGCAAAGGATAGACAGCAATAAGGAAAGTCTTTAAAATTTGATATACGTACCCCTGGAATAAAAGTCAGTCTATTACCATCCATCCAAAATTCTTTCAATCCACTTAGCTGCTCAAGTACTTCAGGCTATTTAGATTGGGGGGAGGGGGGAATATATTAATTTACTTGAATATATTTATTTGGCAAAAGAAGCTTCCCTGGGAATTTCTAATGACAAGTTTCACTTTAAAAACTTAGGAGGAAAAAAAAAAGCAGAGCCCAGACTCAAGCCTTTCCACTATATTATAGCTATTACACAAATATTACTCAACAGATATTCCATAACAGATTACATAAAACTCCTTTAAGCTTTTGATTACATAACAGGCTCAAGTATTTATACAATTAATAAATAAAACAAGACCCATTACTTTCAGGAATACAATAAAAAGATACTCTCAATCATTATCTGTAAAAAGGTGTAGACTTTTAGGGACTCTTAAAAAAAAAAAAAAGATATTCTCTGATGACCTAGAGGGAGGAAAAAAGAAATAAGGCAATATACATCCTGAAAGTCCAATAATAAGGGAAAGGTAAGTAAACCAAGGCATAATCATATGATAAGTGTACTGTGTTATTTTCAGCTTCCTGCAATTACATGGTAGAATACTGTTCATAACATGATGTTGAGGACCAAAAAATTAAAAAGATGTAGTGGACTTTGGTATTCAGGCAAAATTTGCTCTTATATTCACCCTTGGAGGCTCTTCTGAATGCATCATTTGAAGATATTTCTGTCATCCCACAAACCTGTGTCCAATCATTGACAGTATGACGGCATGGAGTGTCATCATATCTAATCACCATAATAACATGAGTAATACATAAAAGGCATGTCATTCAGATTTACTGTTAACATTAAGTATAGGTAAGAATTCTAGGTTTAAATTGTATTAAAAGAAATCTCTTTCTGTGCTTTACCTGTTACAATTCTAACAGTAATTTTTTTTTAATGTGGAATGTTGGAAGATGGAAATGGTACAAAAATTAATGATTCTGAATGATGCTCTGATTCATAAAATAAACAATAATTTAGAATTTTCAAATAGTTAATATGGAAATAGATTAATACATGTAAGACAAATATTGAGAAAATGTACAACAGTTAGATAATTTAGGAAGCAAAGAATATTCATTTTTTCACAAGGAGTAAAAACTTCTACAACACAGTAAAAGTCATCATATACCAGCTTCAATTAAAATATAATAAAGAATATAAAATACTTTAGAAAAAAACGTGATACCCAAAACCACCATGCTCCTCCAGTGACTTCAGCTGAAAAGCTATTTAGTGAGCAAATGTACAATACAGTATCCAAAGGGCAATCATGCAGCTGGTGGTGCTGAGAAATTCTTGTTCTTAAGACTATCATTTGGAACTTAACAGCAATTGAAAAAAACGAGCTTGTAAACATAATGTAAAAATTTTAATGATGATGATATTGTTAATGAATTCCTCTTCAAAAAAATATCTAGCTTATTTTTCTGAGTTCTCTTGGAGCAATGACTGCAGACAAAAAACTGCTTACATACTTCTTTCCTTTCTGATTTAGCATCATACTCCTTTGCATACAAAGCAAAAACACGATCCTGAGGTCTCATTACCAACTCGAAAATAATAGTTGTTTCACTCAATGTTTTCCTTTTAGCTATTAAGTAAAATTATAGAGAAGTACTTTATCACTGAGTAAATTCCTAAGCAATACTCCCATGGAGTTATTTTTGACTCACAAGTACTTTTCCTGATGCATTCTAGTCTGATGAAACTTTTTCCCTTATAATCTTTCAAAGTTTCTACTTCCTGTGCCTAAAAACTTTTAAATACCTTTTTTATGGGTTTCTCATTAATTTTACATTTTTACCCTCACTCCTTTCAGATGTTATCTGTTTAATTTTCCCTGTTAAAAATTTTCATATCTTGTCTCCCTAAAATATGTGTATATCTTTACCCAATTTTATACTTTACAAATGCAGAGAAATAAACACATTAATTTTCACATTTTGCTCTTGATCAAATGAAGACTTATGGATAGTGAGGTTGGTGAGAACTTACCACTTCTGTGAATTCATTACTTCCCAAATCCAGTCTTTCCAGCTGGGTCAGTCTATTCATGGTTCTATGCACAATGGATTAATAAAGAATTAAGTATACAAAAATATCAATTACATGGAATCTTTTAAAATTTATAGTGTAAAATATACTTATGTATTATCTAATAACATACAGGCTTTCAAATGTTGATAAAATAAAAATTTTCTAAGAAAAAAAGTCATTTAATTTCTAAATAAAATGAAATAAGTTATCAATTATTCTCTATTTTGCCTTCTCATCAGGTTATTTCTATTCTTAAGAAGTAACTGCATAAAAAGAAATGAAACTGAGCTATTTGTAATGAGGTGGATAGACCTAGAGTCTGTCATACAGAGTGAAGTAAGTCAGAAAGAGAAAGACAAATACCGTATGCTAACACATAATATATGGAATTTAAGAAAAAAAAATGTCATGAAGAACCTAGGGGTAAGACAAGAATAAAGACACAGACCTACTGGAGAACGGACTTGAGGATATGGGGAGGGGGAAGGGTGAGCTGTGACAAAGCGAGAGAGAGGCATGGACATATATACACGACCAAACGTAAGGTAGATAGCTAGTGGGAAGCAGCCGCATAGCACAGGGAGATCAGCTCGGGGTGCTTTGTGACAGCCTGGAGGGGTGGGGTAGGGAGCGTGGGAGGGAGGGAGCCGCAAAAGGGAAGAGATATGGGAACATGTATATGTATAACTGATTCACTTTGTTATAAAGCAGAAACTAACACACCATTGTAAAGCAATTATACCCCAATAAAGATGTTAAAAAAATAAAAAAGAAGTAATTGCAGTAAATTTAAACCCCCAGTCCAGAATACGAGTAACTGATTTTCCATTTTTTCCACAAAATAAATTTTCAGATAGTATAAATTTACTAATGATTAGATTGTTTGGCAGCTTCATATGAATTACCATTTTTCAAGACTGGTGATATATTTGTAAAACTTTAAGATAATTAACTGAAAATTAACATTCAAAATTCCAAGAACAGTAAATATTACATTGTTCCCCACATTTTCAAATTAAATTCAATACAAATCAAAAAAAGTTTTACATGAATCACAAATATAATTCGTAGACTGCATTTATTTTAAATTAAACTACAATATACCATTTTGTTTTGTTTTGTTTTTTTTGTTTTTTGCTTTACAGGGGCCTCTCACTGCTGTGGCCTCTCCCGTTGCGGAGCACAGGCTCCGGACGCGCAGGCTCAGCGGCCATGGCTCACAGGCCCAGCCACTCCGCGGCATGTGGGATCTTCCCGGACCGGGGCACGAACCCGCGTCCCCTGCATCGGCAGACGGACTCTCAACCACTGCGCCACCAGGGAAGCCCCAATATACCATTTTTAACTTCCAACTTAATACCAACATATTTCTGCAACTACAGAAACTTGAAGAATGTACAAACTGATTTCATGATGAAATAAACTAAGTTGTATTTTTATAGCTCCTTCAATGAAGGCACTTTTTAAACTAAACTAATTTTTAATTAATTCAAACACATATCATTTTTAGAAAAACCTATTATTTAACAGGTTGAGGTGCTACCAGCTACCCAGATAAGGAACTACATTAATTTTTTTTTCTAATTTTTAATTTTTAAACTTTTTTTGGCAGTGCCGCATGGCTTGCAGGAGTTCCCCAACCAGGGATTGAACCTGGGCCACAGCAGTGAAAGCACCAAATCCTAACCACTAGACCACCAGGGAACTCCCTAGGAACACATTACATTTTTTTTAGGATATGACAAAATTATGGCAAAATACAATCATCATATTATCAATATATCAATGTTAATTAGGAAATTACCACCATTAGAAACCAACAGACTCCTTAAATTATGACACAAGAACACAGATTATTTTTATCTTCTCTTGAAATTCAACAAATTAGTAACAATAAGTAAAATAAAACTTGATTAAATTTATCTGGCTTTTTAGTGAAAAAAATAAGAATACATATCATAATTGTAATGTAATATGTTACTGACCTACCATTACAGGAAGCTAATTTTCCCTAACACTTCCATTTAAAATATGCCATTCTATCAACACTAATTTAATTCATCGCCCAACACCAATTTTTCTCAAAGCTGCTTTATTTAACTCTGATTTACTGAGTGCCTATTCTCAGGTTCTACGAGGTACTATAATTCTACCTCCCTTACTCACATCTGTCTTTGTCCTGAAAACCTGTAAATTAGTTCTAATTTGCTTTATAACAAAGCAAAAATGTGCTTCCAGGATATTTCTCAAGAAAGATTAGATACTAACTTCTTGTCCATAATACTATACCAGGTCGACATTTGAGAAAGGTAAAGAGGGCTGTGAGGAGGGGGTAAGATTGAAAGAAGAAAACATGGTCTTATTTTTCTTAATTCAGTATTCTTATAATGACAAGATAACAGAAAATTCACATGCAGCAATTAAACACTTTATATCAACAAGGGTAAGTTATTTTTTAAAAAGGGTACAAAAAGAAAAGCAGTGCAGGGCTTCCCTGGTGGCGCAGTGGTTGAGAGTACGCCTGCTGAGGCAGGGGACACGGGTTCATGCCCCGGTCCGGGAGGATCCCATAGGCCACGGAGCGGCTGGGCCCGTGAGCCATGGCCACTGAGTCTGTGCGTCCAGAGCCTGTGCTCCGCAACGGGAGAGGCCACAACAGTGAGAGGCCCATGTACCGCAAAAAAAAAAAAAGCAGTGCACTAGAAAATTCAATTACAAACAATATAGTTAGAAATTTAAGTTTTAAAACTGATTTAGGAAAATGTGAGTGACACAGATATGTAATAAAAAAGAGGAAATACATTGTTAAATTCTAAAAGCATCTCCATCACAACTTGCTGTAGCTAACACTGGCAACTTTGGTCCTACTCATACACCTGAAAAATCTAAGACACAAAATTTCATCTTTTCATTTTTTCGTCTGTTCATTTAAGATCCAGCTTCCTACTTCACGGAGAAAGTAAAAACAATATCCCTCAAATTTCATCCTGTTTGTCTCTAAAATTCCTTTGTATTTAACTCATTTTTACCTTCTCTTCTGTCTCAGAGGAAAAATATACATTCTTTGTGTTCTTTGTACCATGCTCACCAGTATTAAGACGGTATTAAATTTCATTTTACTGCATATTTAAAACAGCTTTCCCACTGTTCTAATCTTGGATCATAAAACGGTCCACTCACATAACCTGAATGCACATGACTTTCCTAACACGTAAAACTGTGGCCTCTTTACAGTTTGTGAGACCTCAAATATTTTAATCATGTCTTAAAAAGAAAGCAGTAAAGAATTATATTTGCAAATACACTGAGAGAGCCCAATCTGAAGTTAAATAAAGACTTAAAATAGAAGGAGTTAAAATAAGTGAATTACCTATGATATCAGAGACACCATATTAATTGTAGGCTTAGAAGTTTCAGTAAACAATTTACACCTTGTTTATTCAAATCTCTTAGCAGTCAAGTTCTGAGCTAAAGAGTCATCAATGCCAATACCAAATCTGTAAAAATTTAAACCTTTTTGAATTTTAATATGGATAATTAAAATATGGATAATTCCCACTTTATACTCACAACCATCACCATAAACTCTAATCAATCCAGTCTTTTGGGAATCAAAACCAGATATACTCATGGGGGGGTGGGGGTGGGGAGGAGGAAGGACCAAGGACATGTGCCAGTGGGAATATGCTGGCCAGGTAAGACAAGAGTAAAATGTATTTAAAAAATTAGGCTAATGCAGTAAATGTCATAACAGATATAAGTAAGATGCTACAGAAGTTGAGTAAACAGAACAACTAACTCCTGGAGAACTGAAGATGCTTCTATCAAGAGGTGACAACTCTTGACAAATAAACTACAACAGGAGTCTGAGAAGTTTTCTGTAAGGGTCAGATATTTTAGGCTTTGCATAAAGTCTCTGTCACAACTACTTGACTCTACCACTGTAGAGCAAAAGCAGCCATAGACAATATGTAAGTGAATGAATGTGGTTCTGGTGAAACTATTTACAAAAAGTAGGCTCTGGGACAGATTTAACCAGTCTGTAGTTTGCCATTACCTAAACTGTAAAAATGCACCAGTCAATCAGGGTGTTTTAAGACATTTCTTCAATAAATGGACATAGACCAGTGCATTGTGAGTTTGTATATCTGTTTTAGTTTTATCTTATTTGCTCTTGGACTGCCATCTCCTCTTGATGTTAGCTTACCAGTAGGGGGCCCTCCATCCCATTTCCAATTTACAACAGACTAAAACCAAACAAGTTCTGAAAACTTAAAAAGAGTTACCAGACTTTACATGAAGACCTTATGAGTCTCTCTAATGAGTACTATGTAAGAGTTCTAGTATAGAAACGGGGATCTTAATTTGGGACTCAGGTGGGCTTTACATACTTATTATTCTGACTTTTGTCACACAAGACTGAGTTCCAGAGAGCTATGAAATCACTATTAAATACCAACAGATATACAGATTTTTATATTGAACACCACTAATTAATATACAAAGACCACAAATGTCAGTCTTTTAAAATAATTTGCACTCACATTTTAGATACTAAAAAGTTAATATTTCTCTAAGGATTTAAGAATTTAAAATTCTAAACTAAATTTCACAAAGGATAGCACGTTTACTTACTTTGGCAACATTTTCAACTGGTTTTCTCTAAGTTCTAATATCTGGAGTTTAGTTAATCTGCAAAACAAATAAATCAAGCATGTATGACAAAGAATTTAATTAACAAATTAGTGCAATCCTCTAAAATTTTAAAGCAACCAATATTTATTGTGTAATTACAACGTGCAGAATATTGTATTAAAAATTACACAGAAATATAAAGGAAGAAAAGACTATTTTTGCTCCTCAGAATTAATAGGGAGGGGGGATAAACACTTCTTGACATATCCAAAGCACAAAATAACTGCCCCAATATCCATCCTAACGAATTTCATGCATTTTTCTGAAAAAACCTCCCCAGATTATTAGTCATTAGTAGATTAGAGAACAATAATTTAACTCTAGGGTTGAGCTCTGAGAGAGAAAAATAAAGAAACACAAGGGGACATAGAAAAGGAGAAAATCCTCTGGCACTTCAGTGATGCACATTCCAATAAAATTAGAGGATAAATGAGCAGATGAACTGGTTCAGAGGTGCTCACTAATGCTACAACAGCAATCATATTACAACATACAACGTATGAAGTCAGCAGGCTGTATACTTTAAACTTACACAGTGTTACATGTCAAATACATTGCAATTTTAAAAAGTGGTCCAAATACCAGATACAGAAACCTGACAAGTACACGACATGCATATATGTATACACATACATACACATTTGTGTATATACATATATGTGCGTACATACATACATATATATGTGTATGTATGTAAATATATAAAGCATTATAATGTGGTTCCCACAGGACAGTCACTGGGCTGCAACGACACCCAAAATTCTTTTTTCTTTTTTGAAATACAATTGACAAACAACATTGTTAGTTTCAGGTGTACAACGTAATGATTCGATATCTGTATGTACAGCTGACCCTTGAACAACATAGGCATCAGAAGTCCAATGGGACAGAGTAACCGCTTGAGCTAAAGCCAGCCCACAGCTGACCCTTGAACAACATGGGTTTGAACTGTGCGAATCCACTTATACACAGATTTTTTTCAACAGTAAATACTATGGTACCACACGATCTGTGGTTGGTTCAATCTGTGGATTTGGAACCTTGGATACTAAGGAACTACAGATATGGAGGGCCAACTATAAGTTATATGCGGATTTTTGACTGTGTGGAAGATCAGCACCCCTAATCCAAGCATTGTTCCAGGGTCAACTATATTGTGAAATGGTCACCACAAAAAGTCTAGTTAACATCTGTCACTATACACAGTTACAAAATTTTTTTTTTCTTGAGATGAGAACTTTTAAGATCTATTCTCTTAGAAACTTTCAAATACCACACAATACAATATGGTTAACTATAGTCACCATGCTGTACATTACATCCCCATGATTTATTTATTTTATAACTGGAAGTTTGTACCTTTTGACCACATTCACCCATTTTGCCCACCCCCGCCCCCTCACCTCTAGCAACCACCAATCTTTTCTCTGGTATCTATGAGCTTGGGGTTTTGGTGGTTTTTTTAAGATTTCACATACAAGTGAGATCATATGGTATTTGTCTTCAAGACAAAAAGATGACTACCATATTAACATGTATTTGGATAGCATTTTCTCTAGCAATTAATCTAAACACAATAACAATTTGATACCTATTATTCATTTACTGATTCATTTTTCCATTAGAAAAATTACTCAGGGACTACAGTATGACAAGAATTGGTCTAAGTTCAAGCAGGGAGCAATGGGGTGGACCCCAGAAACACATTTTTCTTTTCTCCAGAACTTTGATTCCAGTGAAGACAGATAAACCAATAATTAGATCATTTTAAAAAATGTGTAAGTGCTAAGAATAAAGCATTCTATATCAAATATGCAAAAATTATCCCGATTTAAATAAACTCCCTATTTCTACATACTTTAAAACCAAGTGTTAAATTACGTTTTTCTTTTAAATTTTCACTGTTTATTTCTACTTGGGAAAATAAATTCCAAGACAAAATAACAAGTTCTAAAGAAACTATAAAAACTACAATGCTTGGAGATAATTACAAAAGAAGAGCCTATGAAACTGCAATTAATAGTATTACTAAAGCAACCTGTAGTTTTGTAAACTTTACAAGAGCTAACAAGAGAAGGTTTTAGAAGAAACTGTAACTTACCTGCCAAAATTAGCTGGCAAGAACTCAAGGAAAGCGTCATTCAGATATAACTGGGTTAGGTTTAACAGTTGAGAAAATCCATCAGGAAGCCTATGTAAAATAAACCAGAATTTAAATTTAATTCATATACAGAATTTTAGTTTCTTATTAAAATCTGTCTAAGAAACTGTCTAACCAACACATGTTCTTAACAGATAACAGTCACCTCTTCACTTTTATGAGTGATCCTCAAATTGAGATTTGCCTTTTATAATAACTTACCTGCTTCAATGTTTACACCTTCATCATTTTCTTTTTTACCTTCATCATTTTTTAAAAGGAAGTGAGGCAATATTTGTCTCAATAAGATAAAATCTGCACATAACAGCCAACTATGAATGAGCCACAACACACAGAAATGTATTCAGGCCATGACTATGATATACCAGCAGACACTCTTGAAATTCACCTTATCTAACACCAATCCAAAGGACTAGACAAAGAATTCTAAACTTTGACAGTATTGACTTTTGGGGCTGGATAATTCTGTGTTGTCAAGAGGCTGTCTTCTGCATTGTAGGATGTTTAACGGCAACCCTAGGCTCTGACCCACTAGAAGCCAGCAGCACTGTCCACCACCACAAGTTGTGAAAAACCAAAAAATGTCTCTAGAATTTACCAAATAGCCATAAGAGCAAAACAGTCCCTATCTGAGAAACACTGGTTTAGATTATTTTCAGTTTCAATATTTGGTCCCTAAATAATCAAATAAAGATTGTATAATTTTATTTTATTTTATTATTATTATTTTTTTTTTGTGGTACGCGGGCCTCTCACTGTTGTGGCCTCTCCCGTTGCGGAGCACAGGCTCCGGACGCGCAGGCTCAGTGGCCATGGCTCATGGGCCCAGCCGCTCTGCTGCATGTGGGATCTTCCCGGACCGGGTCACGAACCCGTGTCCCCCGCATCGGCAAGCGGACTCTCAACCACTGCGCCACCAGGGAAGCCCAAGATTGTATAATTTTATAATGACCAAATGGAAAGAAAGAATATTAAAAGCTGAATGACGTTTAAGATCATATAAGAGCCTATAAGTAGCTTTACTTTTATTTCCTCTGGCTTACAAAAGAAATTACAAATCTAGAACTTGATGCTACAGCAAAATTTTCAGATGAAGGTAAAACATCATCTTTACATGTCTGTCCTTTACATGTTTGCCTATGTTTGGAAAAACTTGTTAAATACGATACTGTAATATGTGAAAGCTGGTTTCAACTTTCAACTTAGCTATACTAAGCTATGCTTCACACTATTCACCTTTTGCTTCATCATTCCATTTTTGCAAAATTTAACAGCTTTGGTGCTAAGAAAGCATTCTGCTTAAAGCCATTACCATCATAAAAGAATATATGTGACCTCTGGTATATAGTACAACCAATCACATGGCTTGTCCCTTTCTTTGTTGTTTTTACCATTTTGACCCTTCGGTTTCTTTTATTCTTTTCAAAAGTTTGAGTGTGCCACATACATTGGATTTGCAGGTGAAGACATTTTTATATTGTGCAAGTAACATTGAGCTAGGAGACCTGGATTCTAGTCTCATTTCTGACATTTACTATCTGTGAGACTTGGGGAAAAGCACTTACCTTATCTGTATGGACGTCAAATTTACCTCTGTAATATATGGAGTTAGAAAGAGTAATTAAAAGGCTCCTTTTTAATCTAACTAAAATTTTGTGCAGATTTCAGATTGGTATTAACTGTTCATTAAAATGTAGAAAGTAATATTCTACTATATCATACTTGCTTTATTCACAAAGGTAACTTTTAATTCAACAGAGAAGAACTCACTTGGAAATAGGATTTACACTGGCCTCCACAATTGTCAAAACTTTACAATTTTTTATATTTTCTGGAAACTCCTGTATTCCTAGAAAATGAACAAATAATCAATGATCAAGTGAAAAGAATCTATTACAAAGGAAAAAATCATAATGATATTAATAATTAATGTACACTTTTCAGATTCAAAATTTACCAACTGAGCAGATTCTTGATAAACTGACAACACCAACGTCAAACGAACAGAACCATCTGCACAACAATTTCTCTTCGCTCTTTTGCCTCTTTATGACTACTGCTAATTATCTTGTTTAGTTTTGCCTTCCTTTCCTTCTCCCAGCTCTTCTGAAAATCAGTGCCTTCTCTATGTGGTATTAAGGACACAAAATTCAGAACCATTAAGCATTCTTTGTTTTTTCACATAAAAAGAGGCATTAATTTTTTAAAAATTTTTATTGGAGTATAGTTGATTTACAATATTGTGTCAGTTTCTGCTGTACAGTAATATAAGTCAATTATACATATGCATATATCTACTCTTTTTTAGATTCTTTTCCCATATAGGTCATTACAGAGTATTAAGAAGAGTTCCCTGTGCTATACAGTAGGTTCTTATTGGTTATCTATTTTTTATATAGTAGTGTGTATAAAAGAGGCATTACTTCTTAATTGCTGGGCTCCAGATTGAGCTGGTCCCTAATACATACAGGATAACAAAGCTGAAAGCAAAGCTGAAGACAGAAGAGGTAGAAAATATGTATCAGATATGCCAGTGGATATGCCTGACGCAGTTGTACACCAATACTTCTGTAAAATACAACACAAATGTGACAAGTCAAATTATGGTAGAAGTTTCTTAGCACTTAATCTTCTCTCTTCAACTTATCTTAGCAAAAATATAGCAACAATAATTTGTGAACTAGCAACAATCCATAGAGAAACTTTAAGTAGTACTGTTCTAATCTAGACTAGAGGAGTGTGAATTAATAACTTTTAAAAATATGCAAAAAATTCTGTTGTAAGACTCATTCCTCCACTAACATAACATGTATATCAAAGGGGCTGACAATAAAGGATCATCTAAGGCTCTTTCAACTTCACTGATGTATAATTCTAAGCAAGTTTACTACAGTGCCCAAGTATAGAATTTCAGATAATGAAAAATGAATGATACAAAATCATCAACTGGCAAATATTACAGTAATAACTGATCAGCCAAAACTCATCAATGGATGCTAAAATTAGTGGGTTAAAGAATGAAGAAAAACAGTATACATTTATATAGTCTCAAAGTTTCTCTCCCCAAAATACTTATTAATTTTAAGAGGGGGAAAAAGTGAAGAAATCTCATAGGCACCACTTAAACTGTTTCAAAGTTAGCATCAGCAGTTAACAGCATCATCACAGGGCAACTAATCTTAAGACACACTGACAAGGGGTGCAGCATCTACTGTCGTGTTCCTGCCCCAAACACCCAACCTGAATTGAATCATAAGCAAACATCAAACAAATCCAAATTAAGGGAAATCCTATACACATGGTCAGTAATCTTTAAAACTCTCCGCGTCTAAAAAGATAAAGACAAAGAAAAACTGAACAACTACCCAGGTAAGAGATCAAAGAGAACTGACTGTGGTAAATATCCAGACCTACTTCACACACACACACACACACACACACGCGCGCGCACACACACACACAAACTGGAAAAATCTGAGTAAGACTGGGGGGCTGTATTAATGTCAATATTATTACTGTTCTATAAAAGCTTCAAACCAGAAAATGTTAACACTGATGGATATCTAATGATATTAAGGAATTACTGTTAGCTGGTTCTCTTTTTTTAAGTGTGATAATAGAGTTTCATCTTAACATATTTATACATGAAAGAGGTTGCCTGATTTGCCTTAAAACAATCAGAGGTGGCAAAACAGGAGGTATAAATGAAACTATAACATACTGATAAATTTTGAAGCTGGTTGGTAGGCACATCGGGTTTATCGTATTATTCTCTCTACTTAGATAACAAGATTAACCAAAAAAGGACTTTAAAACAGCTATTGTACTTAAAGGGAAAAAATGAACAAAATGGGGAGGAAAAGATTAAATGTAAGAAATAGAAACTTTACAAATAATAAATACAATATATGAATGAAAAATCCAAAGGACAGGATTAAAAGATTAGTCACTGTAGGAGAACATGTCAGAGAGACAGGAAGACATGGCAACAGAAAACAGCCATTCTGAAACATAGAGGGGGAAAAAATATATGAAAACCCAGGGATACATGGGACAATGTAAAGTAGATTAACATATATTTACCTATCTTTAGAAGTTTGCTTATCAGGCACCACTAAGAGTACATGCTCTGTGAGGGGAGAATCTTTGCCTCTCTTGTTCACTGCTGGAATAGGACATGGCACATAGTTATCAGTATCACTAGATAACGTCCAAATTCTTTTCCAGGGTGGTAATATCAATTTTCATACTACAGTACCTATTTATATTCTTGTTGACATTTGATGATGTCTTTACTTTTTGCTAGTATAAGGGGTTGAACCTCACCAGAAATAATAGAAATATTAATTAAAACTAGATATTTTCCTGATATTTCCTAGAGATGCTGAACACATTTTCATGTGTTTAATGATCTATTTAAATTGAAGTACAGCTGATTCACAACATTATGTAAGTTTTAGGTGTACAGTAGAGTAATTCAGTATTTTTTACAGATTATACTCCATTAAAAGTTATTACAAGGCAATGGTTATAATTCCCTGTGCTGTACAATGTATCATTTTTTTTTTTTTTTTTTTTTTTGG